CCCCACCGCCGCCGCAGAGAGCGGCCCACATCCGAACCCAGGAGGTAAACCCATTTGTCCTGGGGTGGAGAGGAGCAGATGGCCAAGTCCCGGCCTAGACCTCGCCGACCCGACCGGCCACCCACGCCCCAGCAAGGCCACGCCCCGACTATCCCCCAACCACCGCAAACGGCCAGGGGTACACCCCCAGCCGACACCCGCCGGAACCTGGCGACCACCCCGGCCAGCGGGTTCAATATTTTTTTTTGATACAAATCACCAAAATTTCCACGGCCATTTTAACTTGTAATTTATTGAAATTATTAATGAACATTTGTTTAACCTCAAAAGTACAGTTTTTTAATTAAATGTAAACTTAAATTTTGCTGAAACAGCAAGTTTCTCAATCTGTGCTCGAAAATATAGCCTAGATAGAGTAGTTGAATAAAGATCCTCTGATCCTTCAACACAGAACATCTTCAGAAGACAAGTTTATAAAATAATTTTTAAAAATCTGTATTGTTTGATACAAGTGTGTATTGAACCTAAAGCACTGTATTGAATGGTTTGATACGGGCACATGTATTGTTGCACCCCTAATAAATGTGTGCCTCACATTTAACTTCTTTAGGTAAATCTTATACTGGTGAACGGTCTTAGTCATCCACTACAAGTAATCCTTCAAACAAAGACAGCTGGACCGTCTTTTTTTTAAACTGTTTTGTGTCTCATTTGATAAGTTTTCTCAAACCAAATTAAAAATGAGTGGCCGTTAGGATCTTTCTCGGCTTGTTTTACATGTAGGATGTTTTGTTCCCATGGATGAAAATGTGAACTGAAACTGACAAAGCTACATTTTTAAGTACTGGGACTCTGCCTCTGTTTAATGTTACAGGTATAGATTTTCTAATACACAGAGTAAATTCTTTGGAAAATGTTAACAAATATAAAACCTTGTTTTTTATTAAAACACTACAGTGTTATACGTAATAAACTATTGATTTTTAATAGACTACATAATGTAATATTTAATATAAACTACATCAAGTTATCTTATCCACATATTCTCCTTTTCTCAGAATTTCTTCTAGGTTCTTTATGTTTTAAATTGACAGGACTGATGCTTCACATCACCTGTGAAAGGTTTAAACTTGTTCTCCAGATCAAACGTCTGTTTTCCCAGATTTTTCAGATCTACACGCAGTCCGGGGCAAATGGCAAACTCCACAATGGTCCGGCTGAGCTGAAAAATCTTGTTTGTGATGGTCTCCTTCGCAGGCCCTGAAAGCAACAGAAAAGGTTTGCTGTTACAATTACCCCTGACTATTTTGTCTTTTCCAAGCCACATCTCTAAAAGCAGCCTTGTGCTTTAATCTCTGACACTATGTTGCATTTGGCTGTTGGCTTTGCCTGCTTCCTTCTCTCAGGTTACCTTACCTCCATTTGCAGTATTAAACCTAATGCCAAAGTCTCCATCAGGTCCACCAGGGTTGTGGCTGGCAGTGAGGATGATACCGCCGATGGCTTTGTATTTCCTGATCACACAGGAGATGGCCGGTGTTGACATTACCCCGTGGTGTCCAATGATCAGGCGACCAATCTGCAGAAATGTCACGCAGGAGTGTTGGAAGTTGGGTGGGATGAACGAGTTTCTCATTACAGCTGAGGAGGGGAGGTCTGAGAAAGGCCATGACTTCCAGGTTTGGTGTTTTAGATTTAAGACCAAGTTTTAGCATAAACAAGTCGTTATTTCATTAAACCAAATAAACATCACAAACTAAAGCTTGGTGTCTTCTCACATTAAAAATAAGCTTTATTTATCTGCTGGTACATTTAGAGGTCACCACAGAGGATGACCTGCCTCCAACCCAGCATCCTCCTCTGTCACACTAACCCTCTCAAACCATCTCCATCCACTTCTACTGAGTGACTTCATTCCTTTTCTCTTCAGAGCAAATATTCACCTCCCCAGACTCTCTTCCACCTGCTCCAAACTCTCTTTATAAACGACATCTGCAAACATCATAGAACACAGGGACTCCTGGCTGACCTCATCTGTGCACCTGTCCATCACAACAAAGAAGAAGAGGCTCAGTGTTTACACCTGATGTAATCCCACCCCCACACTAAACCCACCTGTCACTCCAAACACACACCTACACACATCTCTTTGTTCTTGTACGAGTCCTGCACCACCATCCCTCACAAGCCTCTCATCACTCCTGACAACCAGTTTTACACTTCCTCTGTTTGCTGCTACTACTACTAAAACAAGTACTACCACTATTACTACTACCACTACTACTAGTACCATCATTATTACTACTACCACTACTAGTAGTACCATCACTATTACTACTACCACTACTACTAGTGTCATCGCTTTTACTACTACCACTACTACTAGTACCATCATTATTACTACTACTACTACTACCACTACTACTACTACTACTACTACTAGTACCATCGCTATTACTACTACTACTACTACTAGTACCATCACTATTACTACTACCACTACTACTAGTACCATCGCTATTACTACTACCACTACTACTAGTACCATCATTACTACTACTACTACTACTAGTTCCATCGCTTTTACTACTACCACTACTACTAGTACCATTGCTATTACTAATAATACTACTACCCCTACTACCACTACTACTACTAGTACCATCACTATTACTACTACTACTACTAGTACTATTACAACTACTACTAGTAGTACCATCGTTATTACTACTACTACTACTACTACTACTACTACTACTACTACTACTACTACCACTACTACAACTATCACACCTCTACTACTAAAACAACTACTATTATTACTACCAGTGCACTACCAATACTAAAACAAATACTACCATCACTATTACTACTACTACTACTACTACTACTACTACTACTACTACTACTATTACTACTACTACTACTACTACTACTACTACTACTAAAACAACTACTACCACCACTATTACAACTATTAGTTTTATAACAACCGTTACCACTAGTACAACCACTACTACTACCACAACAACAACTACTACTAGTACCACCACTAATACTACTACCACTACTAAAACAACTACAACAACCACTACTACAACCACTACTTCTATTTCTACTACTACTACTACTACTACTACTACTACTGTTTCTACTAATACTACTATGACAACCACTACTGCTACATGTAATAACATTATCTACTTGATACTTTTGGTGACTTACAGAGAAATATGTGGCTATTTTTCTAAACTATTTTTTTTATAATCTTCATTTATTGTTTGGATGTCTGAAAGCAAAACATTTAATCTGACACTAGTCTCCCAAACGCCACCACATGACACTGCTTCATGCACTTCTGTCACAATCAGTGACTATACAAAGGTATTTATTAACCTTTATCATTTGAGCAGGAAAATCCCTCTTTGACCACAGATCACTGGGCCTGAAGGCAACATAATGTACATGCTTGGCTTGTGGGAGACAACAGGAGTACCTGGAAAAAAAACCCACAATCAGGAGGACAACATGCAAACTCTACACAGAAAGACCTAAGGTCCAAAGCAGGGATCGAACCCCGGGCCTTCTTGCTGTGAGGCATCAGTGCTAGCCACTGATCCATCGTGTTGCCACTAAAGGTAACAACATGAACTGATGCGGCAGGTAATCCTGACATGCGTGTGGTTGTTTGAACTGTCACGTGCACACACAAACACAACACAACAGCACTGACTGACCCCATTGGCAGCTGCCATCTGAACAATGACTTCAACAGCAGGTCTGTTGAAGAAGCGTCCATCTCCTCCCACCACCATGGTTGAACCCTGCCGGTCAGGTAAGTCAATGGAGGAGAAGATGCTCTGGATGAAGTTGTGCAGATAGTTTCTCCTGGTCTGAAACACATAAACCTTCTTCCTCAGGCCATTGACACCGGGTCTCTGGTCAGGGTAGGGGCTCGTAGGGATGGTCAGCACCTGCAGAGGACCACTCTCCATTGTTTCAAGATGAGGGTCCAGGGAAATGTGCTTTGTAGAGAGCAGGGACCTTCCGTTTCCCTGTCACTTGACATGGAGGAATGGTGCGGAATGGGAAGGCTGGCGCTCGACTCCTCCTTTTCTTTCATCGGAGGCACAGGGTTACTCTGGTTCTTCTGCGGCTCAAAATAACCTTTCACACTGGTGTGTGCAGAGACAGGGGGGTAACTGAAGAAGCTTCTCCACATGTGTGCAGGAAGATCACTGTCAGGGCTGCAGGCCCTGTCACAAAGAGTTGTGTATGTGCGTGTTTGGGTGTGCTGGAGACCGTGTACTGAGGTGTTGTAAGGGCAGTCTATTAATGTGTGAAGGTCTGCAGCTGTTCAGAAAGAATGAAGGCCTTGCTCATCAAAGGGTTCAGCAGAAGAATACTTCTAATGAAAAAAGAAGGTATCAAAAACATCGTGAGAAATGAGAATATTTGTGGCTTTAGGAAAGTGTCTGATAGCAGCACCAAAATAATTTGTCAAATCTATTTTTGCCCAAAACATAATCACAGAAGATTTTTGCCCTGAACAATACTGCCCTCTAGGGTTTTTAAAAGCAGACAACAACAATGGACAGGCTCTGATGATTTTATCCCTAATCTTCTCTGTCAACATCTTCAGCTCTGACACTTTCAGTTCTGTCTCCTGTCTTTTTGTCCCTGTCTCTGTCTTCAAACTGTACAACACAGCTGGTCTCACTTAGTCTCTTGGAAACCTTTGCTTCAACCTTTGCTTCCACCTGTTTGTCACAAATCACTCCTGAAACTTTTCTGCATTTATTCTTTTCTGACCTTTTCTCCGCCTTCTTCAGACTTCCTCCACTCTCCATCTGATACTCTCCTCTGCCACAACCTTACAGTGTCTGGTCTCCGTCAGGTTACCTCTTCAACACAGAAGGTGTTGTGTCCTGATCCAGAAACATAATCTCCATTCTCTTGAAAAAATCCGCCACCTGTCCTTCCTGGGTTTTTTATTTCCTTGACACCAAACCTGTCCATCACTTCCTCATCTCTTCTGTTTCCTTCACCAACATGTCCACTCAGGTCTGCTCTGATCACCTCTCTCTCCTCCAGTGAATACTCACTTCATGAGAGTCCAGTCCTGGTCCTGGAAGGCCTCTATCCTGCAGGACATTAGTGTTTAACTGTTAGCGTACAGTATATAGGTGCATTCTGAGTGAGACATACTAGGTTTAGACTCCGGAAGCTTTAGTTACAAGTTTATTGTTAAACAGGACAAAGAAAAAGAGATTGTAAAAATACACAATAGTCAGAAGAAAGCAGGGTAACACAGATCGGAACACAGATTTAGATTTTGCACCGGTAACAGATTACAGTCTTTAGGTGTCTGCAAAACAAATGACATCATGAGATCCTGCCCACATGGTGCGGTTTGAGGGCCAAAATTATGACTAATGTACAAGGGCATAAACATAGGTCTACCATTGTGGGGTTATGCTCTCTGCCTATTTATTTACTTATTTATTGAATCATTTACATTTATAAAATGAATCAGGATATTTGGGGCTTAAAATATAATGTTTTTTTTTTTACCATGATTTATAAGCTTTCCTGTTTTCTTTGTATGCTCTGCACCTTTTTTGTTC